TGCAGCAAATCTGATTGTAATATAACAAAAAAAAATTCTTCAAACAAAAAAATAATCTAGAGGTTCCAGTACAATTTGAAAGTTGAAACACCGAAAAAGAATAATTTTTTCTTCGTAAGTATGCAAAAGTATCAAAATTACAAGATTCTAAATGCTAAAAGAAAAATAAAAAAATAAAAAGCTTCCAAAGACTTTCTCAGCGTTCTTCATGGCAGCATATGATTTGGCATGACCTCCACTATTGAAAGCTTGCAAAGAATTAAAAAATGCAAGTGAAACTTTAGTAGATGGGAAAGGAAGATTGCAATATACGAAGGTAGGAACGAGTCAACGAGGTGGGAAAGAAATAAAATTCAGGTACGAAGGTGGGAAAGGAAGATCCAAGCCTGAGAAGAGTGAAGACAGTGGGAAAGAAAGAAAATCCAGATACAAAGGGAGTCGAAACAGAGGGAGAGAGCGCCGCTGCGGAGAGTGAAATGGTAGTTTGAAACCTAGAGTGTATATTTTTGTTTTATATCATTCAATAAAATTACCATAATAACCTTAAAAAAATTAAAAAAATATATATTTGCGGGTCAGAGCGGGTTCACGGGTTGACCCGTGACCCGACACGAATATTTTCGTGTTATATTTTTTCAACCCGAACACGACCCATTTATTAAACGGGTTGACCCGAACACGAAAATTTCGTGTCGGGTCCGGGTTGGGTTGGCGGGTCGTGTCATAAATTGCCACCCCTAGGTAAGAGAATGAGAAGTTTAACTTCTCCTGTTACAAGAGAAACTATTCTCTCATATTTATATATATATGGTAAAATTATTTCTGCAGTTGCTGCAGAAATAGCAGGCAAAACCGCATGCGGATCCTGGAATTTCTTCTTCTTTTTTTAAATCGCGTGGGGCCCACACTTTTTGTATTAGCTACATAAATTGCTCTCTATAGCAGCTGCAAAAATGAAAGCTCATATATATATATATATATAGGGGTAAATATTTTTATAACCACTTTAGATAAGGTTATCTACAGCTATCCAAAAACTACGTCGTTTTAATTAATGAAAGGTGTTTCTGTAATTTTAAGTGAATTAATGAAGTTTTTTTTCATAATTTTATAGTATCCCTTTGAAGTTGTTGCTTTTAGAGAGATAGGTTTTACTAGAATTAAGTTAAATATGTATACTCTCCTCATTTTTGGTTCCTCATGTTAGATTAAAAAGTATGGTATATGGGTAAGTATATAACTGTTCTCATGCAGTCCACTAACTCACCCTCACTTATTTTATATAAAAGTGATTGTCACCAACTCACCATAGTCCACAAGTGAAGTCCTCGAGCACTGTACCCATTAGAGCAAGATTACGGGATACCGCCCAAATTCCTTTGTCAAATAGCAAATCTTATTATGATCAATAGTTTTTAAACGTGCAAATATCATTTTCATACATCTTTAATTTGTCCTTATCTACTACATTAATAATTTCGTATGCTAAAACTAGATATGGATTAATTAAAACAAATATCAAATAAACATCTTTCTGAAAGAAACTGTACGTGAATATTTCTCCCTTCAAACATTAATTGGTGATATTCTATTATTATTTATAGCAATCCCATCACAAAGGTTGTTTTCCTGAAGAGGGACAGAGAACTGAATTAATCCCCATTAATTGCAACAAGTCGACAAGAGAAAGGGACTTTTGTAGACTAAATCTTTGTAGGATCAAGCAAGCGAAAAAAATTGAAAAATGTGTACCAATTGTTGTTTCATGAAGAAGCATTCCACTATAGGCTGCTGCTGCTGCTGCTTCACAAAATATTATAAATCATCAAGAGCATGCTACAACCAAGGAATTATTATAAAGCAAAACCCTATAGTGTCGTTTAGTTAGTAGTGCTTATTATTTAGTATATTCAGTAGTGAAGGATTAATTATATATATATTGGCTAATATATAAGTTTATAGGTTATACAACATACTTTTATGACTTATGAAGGTGAAACAAAATGAGGGGAGAAAGAATCAAATTCGTAGCGTTTCAATCGTACGTGTATAATGTCTAGACTTTTATTTTTTTAAATCAGTTTTCCTTATCTTTTCTTTATGGGATGCTCTGGTTTCTACAATTTAAAGCTTTGCAACTATTTTCATATATAGAACTGATTATTATATTAAAATAGATCAAGATTACTTGTAACATTTACTCGATTAGAAATCTCATTTTTATGGGTCATCTTTTTTAAAATTTAAATGGGCTCAATAAAAATATTTATTCAACAAACAATCTCTCATTGTTTTTTTCTTTTTTGTGGTAGATAAAAAGTTTAGATTAGCAGAAAACAAACCTAATGAGAATAGAACCCAAACCATCACCAACATGAGTGGACGTTGGACAATTGGATCAAGTGTGCCAATCTTCATTAACTCCCTTTTAACATATGAAATAATAAATACTATGAAAAAAATATATTATATGATAATGTCCAATCCATAATTTTAAAAACAAAAAATAGAACGAGAATAATATGACATTTTTATAATTACAATTAAAATATATCAACTAAAAATAAAACTTGGAAACAAACCAAACACCCCCTAATTGATGGTATGAATTATTTTCGATTCAACGTTAGCTTGAAAATTTCATGGTTTATTGTGTGTATTATTAAGTTATAAGAGTGATAATCTTTATTATCATTCTTTTTTTCTTGGTAATCATATTATCATTCTTTTTTTTTATGTTGATGATGCTGATCTCTATAAATAATTATTATATTAAAAAATAATTGACAAGTAAGTGAAAGTATTCCTAAGATAAAAAATGAATTAATTAATTAAAAAAAGTATACTAACAAAATCAAATAAAATACCCATTAATAAAATTAAAGATATCAAGTAAATAAATGATATCATTCCTAATATAATCATTTTATTTATGGGGAAATCCAATATCATGTTACAGGATATTTGATTCTCATCCCCCAGTCTAATTGAAGTTTGTGCATCACTTTCTTTTTATAAATACCAGTGGAGCCCACTTGTTTTGTCTCAGTCGCGTGATATAAGTTTTATCCTGTGACATAATATTCATAAACCTTTTTATTTATTTATTTATTTATTTATTTATTTATTTTTCGTTATTAATTTGCAACTTATGAATTATGATCATTGTACTACTCATCCCAACGGCCAAAAGGTTCTTTAAATACCAATATATTGCACCAATCGTTTAGGACACTTTAAAATCTTAGAAACATGATCTAAAAATCATTACAAAGGGGAAAAAAGGTAAAGATAAAGAGAATTTGAAAAGCATGACCCCACTAATTGTATTCTTTTTAGGGGTCATTAACGCTCTAAAGCATTCAAAATGTTCATACTTTTCAAAGGCAATGCAACTTTTGCTTCTTTGCTTTGAATATTGCAGTTCTTTGTCACCCTAGAGAACCCACAGCACCCCAAACTTTTGAGGCAAGAAGATAGGGGCACATGATATTGGCATGTAGACAAAGTTTCCACACCTTAGCTTTTGCAGTCTTTAGGAGAGAAAGAGAGAAAACAATAAAAGATTGAATGGCTGTGTTCCCTTTATATGTAGAAGGCCACCCTCTTTTCAGTCCACTCTTCTTTCTATTACAAGTGAGTTTTTGCATGAAAGTAAGGGATTTCTCGGATCTAGAATTCTCAATAATCAGTGTATAATTGTGGGCCTAATTTCTCAAAACATTATCTGTCCAGTGACCTTGGATCCTTAAACTAGTTGGAGACAAACATATATGGATCCATGAAATTTTAGTGGGAGGGAATGTTGTGTAGGTGTGGCCTCTGTTCTAAAGGCTAAGACATTGGAGATGACCAGTCAAAAAGGGAGGTTGCCATGGAAGTTAACGAGAATGGGAGAAAAAAAGTTAACGATGATATGATACGCAGCTTATAAAGATTTTTTTGGTCCTTCATTGTTTTGATTAGGTGAGGTGAGGATAGAAAAAACAAAGTGCTTTGCGAAAATAAAGGTATAAGAATTCAATCTTCCTTCCTATTTCTTCAAATTATTTTCGATTTCTTCAATCTATTTCATGCTAAATATTTTTAGCATATCAAGCGACAGAATTTACACTTAATTCAATCCTAGCATGATAAACTTTAGTAATAATAATTAAATGTTTTATAATTAAATATGATGATAACAAATAGAAACATACTTACACAAGATAAAGTCTAGATGAAATAAAATATAAAAATAACAATCTCTCTCATCTTTTTCATCCAAATATATTAACTTTCCATCTTTTCAGTTCTCACCTGCTCAATCAAGCAGCCCCAAAACAAAGTCGAAGTCTTTCCTCCATGTGATAATGTAGGCTATTCTTGTTTTAGTACGTGAAAAGTAGAGAAAATGTTTATAAAGAAAATGAACTGGTAGTTGCTTAGTTTAAAAAATAAGATGTGAATAAGTTATTAGGATTAATCTAACGGTAAGAAATTCGAATAATTTGCATAAAATTATCGATTTTAGGTGCTCTCATCATAACCCAAAAAAAAAATGTGAATATTTAAAAGTGTAGGGCAATTCATCTATGTTTCACCCAGCAAAAATTTACAAACCCCTAAATCATGAAAGTAAATTGAAAGTGACATTTCACTCTTCAACATACAATATAATAATTAAAATCAATTTTTTTTTTTCCAAATCCATTTTCACTCATTTTCAACCTTCTCAACTTCACCAAATGATTTCAAACGGTGAAGCACCAAACTAGTATTACCACAAGTTACACATAATAAAGTACACTGGTATGTACCCAAAAAAAAAAAAGTACAAACACTGGACACAAACAAAGAGCCTTTACCCGAAAAGAAAAAGAGGGGGGAGGGAGGCCACACAGAATGTAGTATAAATATGCTTCTTTGAATTATAAACACGAATAGGAAACAAGCAGATATTGATCTGGGATTGGAACTAAGAGTTCATCAAATTAAGTTCCATACTAAAGTATTCTATATACCAAAAAAAAAAAGTTTCAGCATTCTATTATTCACAAAGCCACAGGAATGTATAAACGCGACGATATATATGTTGTCAAGTCTCACATACAAGCCCATGTATAATAAAAAGCTCAAAATATTTTCGCTATTCTAGTTATTCACACAATCACACAGTTGGGTCCTTCCCAAACCTCATAAATACATGTGTTGCCAGCATTGATCCCCTACGAGTCATTTCTGCAACTCGGCCAAGCAGTGGCAGCTTTACTGTTTCTCTATTCGAAATTGGTTTTTTGTCCCACCTATTTGATGTAAACTTCAAATTTAGTCACACAGGAGGAATTATTTTTGCTTAATGCTTACATTGTTTATTAAAATTGAAGAAATATTTACTTTTTGGTACGTAGAAGAATTATTTACTTGAGCCATAAGAAATAATGATATATAATTTATTGTTTATAGAAATAATTTACATTAGCATCACAAGCTACGATGACATCCCTGTACAATAATGGATGCAACAGATAGTGTCTCTACTCTAAAACAGAATTCGCATGACCAAAACTACACTCTAAAAAAAGAGTTCATCTTACTTGTGACAGAAAATATGATAGTACTTTCATGTATACATTACAGGAAACTAATATGAGATGCTTTAATGAAACCATCGTGTAAAAATGAGCTTAACGGTGGGTACACAAAGGTCTGGCACTCCTGAAAAAAGAGCAAGGCCCTTTCGCAAATATTCCCTAAAATCCGTTTGCAAGTTCTCAAAGACTACATTACGGTAATAAACACCATTGCAAAACCCTGGGTTAACAATCTGAGCACTAAGGTCAATGTTCAAGATCGTATGGAACTGGAAGTACCACAAGTTCTAAAATTAGATCTCCGCCACTCCTATTCTTAAAATAAAAATTTACTATAAAGCAGAGTTTTGATCAGTGTAAGCATTGGTGGTACAAGATCTCATGATTCTTCCATTATTTTTATATCTCTCAGCAAGGATAATGCTATAGCTTTATTTCTTTAATGTCTCCCTAGTATGATTCCCAAGAGTCTATTTGGAATCACAAAATTTGTGAATTAATTAGGGTTATAAACGAAATCCTTTTACATTGCCGACTGCACTTTTTATTATTTTCCATTCCCCCCCCCCCCCCAGATTTGAGTAGAGTTGATTTCTAAATCAAATTAATTTCAGTTTTTAATCATTATAGACAAAGTAATAAGGAATCTAAAGACATCTCATTTTTTCATCTACTTTCTGCTGTGGGAATCTTTTGTTTTCAGTTCTATTCTATCGGAGGTTTTCATTAAGTCAAATTAGATATGTCTTCTACATCAGAGTGGAGATACACTCATAAATCTAATTCTTTTGTGATCTATTACTATACTCAAGTACTCAAACGCAAACTCATCAAGATCTAAGTAAATAACTTCGTTGAAGAATAACTTGATTTAAAAAGTTCACATTATTAAGGCCCAAGATTGGTTTATACAATTGTAACAACCACGAAGTCAGAATGACTTCCAGTGTTACTTAATACCAACAGTCATGAGTTTGTATGAAAAAGCACGCTTACTCTTCTCGCACATGCAGATGCAAGTATATATATGTACACAAAGTGGTATGGAGATTTTATCACGACTAAGTGAATAGAGGTGCAAGATTATGTGTAAAACAATATCCAGTTCAACAGTCAATCTGCAAATATATTCTCTTCAGTGGCAAAAATATCATCCTAGGGCAATATAGGATAAAATGTGAACAGTTTCTTTCAGTACGGACAAAAATAGAGTGAGAAATGAATCTTAAAATGTCAAATTGAATATTAAAAATAGAAAAGAAAGCAGAAGACAGCAGTGTTCAGGAGATTAATACATACCAGTCCTCATGGCGAATAACTTTACCCTCCTCAACATACAACTTGATTAGTGATACCATATGTATATCCTTCCCCCAGAATTTATAGTATTGCTTATTGTCAATTAATATCTGTATGCAAATTCATGAATTTGGATCTTCCAGTAAGAGATCAAGCAAGCACATGAGCAGAACAACAGATAAAAGTGCTCATACTACATTAAGTGACACCAGATTTACTAACCTCTACTTTTCCTTGTGAAACCATATTTTCTTCAACACTGTATTCCACAATCTTTGACTCACTAAATACCTAAGGTATATGGAGACAAAAAAGAACTTAGAAATTTTCTCAACATTTGGAAGAAAAAAGAAAAGAATGAGACAACCAATCTGCTAACAAACATTAAACAAAGATTTCTACTATTTTAAAAAAATTCTTCTATACTAAAGAAAATAAAAAAAGAGAATTTCTTACTAATTATGCTTGATGATCCATTAGCATGATACATGCTCAATGTTCTTCACTGTTACTTCAACTTTGGTGACACTAGTAATTAAAGAGAGAGATACAAAGGACAAAACCTTGCAAGCAGGAAGTATTCTATTATGCAACAACTTATAATGCTCTCCTTCGTTTACCCTTTCTATGAGTACAAAAAAGATCAAATAAAAGCAAGAATGGAATCTAATTCATTGCTGATAAATGACACAGATACATTACAATTAATATATTGAACAAAAGTTGGTATTTCTTTTGACAGATATTCTTCAGAGATGAATCTCAATTTTCTGATTTAAGGCAATTACTAATTTTTTTTATAACTACTTACGTGTCAAAACTTTCAGCCTATTATTCCATGGGGAAGGATTCTATTTAGCGGAGTTGCAAAATCCAAAAAGTCTGAAGCAAAATTAAGATCAACATGAAGCAAGAGACAAAATGGTGATCAGCATGAAGTAATGAGAACCTTGGGAAGAGAATAGAATGCTGATTTGATCTGCTTCACCCTGCAGTATCAATATTTTAAATTATATAAGACAATTTCCATATATTTAACAATTTTTATTGCTTTCTTGAATGGGTGTACACAGGAAAGTAAAAAACCAGGAAGCTAAACAGTTTATCCATAAGAAGTAAAAAACAAGGAAGCTAAACAGTTTATCCATAAGAAGTAAAAAACAAGGAAGCTAAACAGTTTATCCATAAGTAAAATGGAATTTCAATAATCTCATAGTAGGAACCATGCTTGAAAGAATAGCACAAAAGAGATAACTGCTATTACACGTCAATAGATTTAGATTATTGCAACAGACCATATGCTGGTATAGGATAAAAGTAATGATAGAGTATAACAGTCGCCAGTGGGTCATGCAATGTTGGACCAACATTAAAGCACAGCTTTATGTGACAATCAAATACCGGAAACAAAAAAACCACCTGCATGCATTTTTTTTTTTTTTTTTTGGTGCAGATAAAAGAAGAAATTCAATTTGTACCAAAAAAAAATAATAATAAGAAAGAGAGAAAAAAATTACAAAGAGAATAGAGGACAAGGAATCCTATTAAACAAAAGAAAAAAAAACAGAAAACAACCAAGGAAAAAGGCAAATCAAATAGACTCCAAACGCTTAATCTTATCCCAAATCAAGTGTTGTGCCGAATAAACCTCCTTAAAAATGAGAGTTCCGCTCCAACCAACTGCACCAAAGTGTAGCATAGGTTGCACATAGCCACATATCAAAACCATGAAAAGATAATAATCACCATGAATTGGGGGAGGAACCTAGAACACACCTAACATTCACCAAAAATGCCAAATAAGGAGTTCCATAAAGATCCACAGCTGAACAATTTAAGAAACTAAGACTATATGAGGGACTGATTCTAAGCTAGCACCACACATTACACATATATCAGGGGAAGGAGCCATACGCAAAATATAGCCAATTATTTTTGGTAGAAGAAAATAATACAAAAGATGGGCAGTGGAAGTTGTTCTTTCCAACTCTATTTAGTTCTGTATGGCCACTGATTGTATGCACATTTGTGCATTGAATTTAGGATTATTGCTTATTGTACCAAATAGCTCCTAGATTTGATTAGAGGCTGGGTTTTCATTGCAGAAAGTCAAATTGTGACAATAATACCATAAAGAGGTCAATGTTGAACTACGATTGCAGGCAGCATATAGCTTCGTTCTGTGAAAAAAACCATGCATATTGTATCTAATATTATAAAATCTGACTGCATTTATTTCCATGATTTCAGCATCAGGAAGAATAAACAAACAACAAGCCTCCTCCTTTTTCCAGATTGAGATTCTATAAAAATATTTTAGCATCAAACAATTTTCACAATATAAGATCTCAATGATAAAGCAGCTCGAAACCAAATTCGTTTATTAACCTACCTTTCCAATGGAACACTTGAAACAAGAAACTTAAACCTTCCAATTGTTTGATATCACACCAAATCCAAATGTATAACATCATATAAGAATATTCATCCACTCCAATAAAACCCTCCGTTGATTGTGTCATTTTGGCATTTAGCATGTCTAATTCAGGAAAAACAAAAACAAAAAATTAATAAAATAAAATGCATACCCATGCGCACACATAAGTGGATCCTCAAAAGAAGCATCCGGGGCATAGATTTCAAAGTCGTGAGATGTAGCACAGGATCCATACCTGAAATACAACATCAAGATCCTGACAATAAGAATACAACAGTAGTTGAAAGAGTAGCTTGTTAAGCACAAATCATTTTATCAAACTGGAAATTGTTTTCTTATGTCAAAGTCTTGATAACCTAACATAAGCCAAATCAGAGCACACTAGGACTTTGCTCCTTTCTAAAAATAAACTTGTCACGAATTTCTTCATAAGAAGAAACACTAAAAATATAATTACATTCTTATCCTTGAAGTTCATAATAGTTTTATATCCTCGCTGTAAGCTAAGTATGAATATGTTCTATGCACTTAGCGAGAGAGAGAGAGTGCTCACAGACGCAGAATGTGAGGAATTATGCGATCAGCACAACGCTTCTTTGCACCGGAATCGCATGCTTCTTTATAACTGCTCTCCATCCCTTCAAAACAAAAGCCATTAAGTTACGAAGAAATCAATAATAATAATAATAATAATAATAATGAATTTTACAATATCAATGAATAGTGTTGGATTACCAGCTGAGAAAGTATTCGTTGCAAATTTTCTCGGAAGCCAAACAGAAAGTTTGAGAAAGGGAGCGAAGTGTTTTGCTGTCATCACATTCATTTTTATAAAAGGACTTATTTAATAACAAAAAAATACTTAAAGAAAAGAACCGTACTAACTAACATTCGTGGCGCTTTGGCCCTCAACGTGGCTGTTGCCTCAGAATTCACTTAAAACGGCACCAGTCAGCTTCGTCGCTTACTCGCTGAACCAAAATTGCTTATTAGTCCCTCAGCCGCCAGAATTTGAATATAACCCCTTCTAAGTTCTAACGATCCACACGTTACTAGTGGAGGAGAATTTGACAAGTTACCTGTCAGACATTGATACAGCTTGAGGGAGAAAATAATAATAATAATAATTGAATAAATCGTATTTATCACCAACATATTATGTGAGAAAATTCTAATTATTAAAGAAGGGATGAATGGTGATCATTTTATAATTTTTTATCTTAATTTTTTGAGTAAAGACCCAAATTGGTCCATGACAAAAAATGCGGTGCCAAATTAATTCTTAAGAAAAATAAGCTCGTAAAATAGTCCCCAACAATGTGAAACAGGACCCACGTTAGTCCTTCTGTCAAACCAAAATTGACGGTGTGAGTGACGGTGCTGATGTGTCACGTTAAGTGACATGCTGAAGCCCACGTGGAGATCTTGGACGACGTCGTTTGTTGAAACTCAGCCACCTTGGACAATCTTTTTTTGTAAAACCCAATTTTGCCCCTCACCTAACCGTTGGACACTTTTCTTTTTCCCCCTCTTCTAACATCGACACTTCATTGTTGAGAACAAAGAAAGAAGACCGTGGAGTAAACCCTGGTGCCTGCGTTTGGAATATTACAAACTTCTTCCAGAATCGAAGGGAACCAGTGGAAGACAAAGACAACTTGGGAGACTTTGTGAGGCTGAGCATACCGTTCAAAAAGGTATGAGTATTTATATGTTGAAACATTTTTGTATTGTTGTTTGACATCCTTTGTTTAATGGTTGTGGTCCCCATGTTGTTTCCCTTTTGTTTAATGCTTGTTTTTTTATGCACGAAGTGGAACATTGTGGTCCATGTTTCCATTTAGGGTTTTGTTTTAAAAGAAAGTAGCAACCGGGTGGTGTGGTCCCTGCCATGGTTGACCCATTTAAAAACATTTAAAAATCCCATGTTAATCGTTGGAATACATGTCTGCATCCATAAAAAAAGGTTTCTTTTTTATTGCTTTGTATTGTTTAACACTTTCAAAGTCTGTGGCTTCATGGTTTAATGATAGGATTGGTTTTTTGGTTTTGACAGATGTCTGAATACATAGTTATTGTTTATCATCACGATGGTATGTTTATCAGAGATGAAGATGGAGTGATGACCTATATATATGGAAGGGTGGACTCATTGCCGGAGATGGACATTGACTACTGCAATATTCGTGACCTTGACACCCTGTTTAAGCAATATGGGTATGAAAAATGCAAGAGGATGATGTGGCTATAGCCTGAGGTACCCGATTTGGATCTGGGGCTGAGACCTCTTAGTACAGATTCAGATGTGTGTGCTATATGTGAGGCTGCTTTAGGGAATGGCAATGAGATACATGTCTACTTTGAGGGCTGCATCTCAATTCCCCAGTTTGCTTCACCTACACATGACAGTGAAGAGGATAATATCATTAATTCAGCACATAATGAGGACCATGAAGAGGTTGATGATGGGGTCAGTTCACATGAAGGTTGTGCACAAGGTGATGTTGGGGTCAAAGAAAATGAAGATCATGCACAGGCTGCTGATGACCTTAGTGCACAAGGTGATGATGGGATGAATTTGGATGAAGACTATGCACAGGCTGCTGATGACCTGAATGCAGAAGGTGATGATGGGATCAATTCGGACCATGATGAAGACAGTGCAGAGGATGCTGGTTATGGGTCTGAAGAAGATAATGCAGATGATGACCATGCTACCTCACACTCAGATTCATATGAAAGTGCAGAGGATGAGGTTTACAAGCCTCCCCCACCTGGTGTTGAGGATGATTCAGAAGATGATGATGATGATATGTCAGTGCCAATTGTAGAGAAAGAAAGGCCTGCAAAACAGACCCCAAGGAGGAAGGCAGTCAAGAAGGATGCCCCAATACAAGACTCTGAATCTGAAGAAGTTGATGAAGAGGAAGCCATGATGTCATTTGAGGAAGAAGGATATACCTATCTGTCCGAGGAGTTGAGGACTCCTCATTCAAGTGATGATGATGAGAATGTTAGACCTGTTATGCCAAAGTTCAATGAGCAAGCTTCTTTTGGGCATGTCTATTTAGAACTTGGTATGGAGTTTATGAATCTGGACCAATTTAAGTGTGCAGTAAAAGATTACAATATCAGTCTTGGGAGGAACTTCGTATGGGTTAAGAATGACAAGGTGAGAGTAAGGGCCAAATCCAGTGTAGAAGACTGTGAATGGATGGTGTATTGTGCCTGGAACAGTAAGCAAAGCACATTCCAAGTTAAGACTTTTAAAGAGACTCATACATGCTGCAGAGTCTTCAAGAATAAAAGGGCTACAAGAGATTGGGTGGCCAAGAAATTGGAGAAGAGAATAGTAACACAGCCCAAGATGACAAGGACAGAGGCATTTGAGCACATGAAGGAGGAATACAATGTGCATTTGGATATGAAGAAAGTAAGTAAGGCTTTGAAAAAAGAAAAGAGGACCATTGAAGGTTGTGAGAAGGAGCAATATGGAAGATTAAGGGAATATTTAGCAGAACTGTTGAGGAGCAACCCTGGCTCCAGTTGCAAATTGCAAGTCACCCCCCCAACCTATTCCACAATCATTGCCAATATTTGACAGAATGTACATCTGCCTTGATGCTTGTAAGAAGGGATTCAAAGCTGGATGCAGGCCCTTAATTGGGTTGGATGGATGCTTTTTGAAGGGCTATTATGGAGGTCAATTATTGAGTGATGTGGGTGAAGATGCAAACAAACAATTCTATGTGATTGCATATGCCGTGGTTGATAGTGAGACGAAGGACAATTGGAAGTGGTTTCTGACATTATTACAGGAAGATTTAGGGGACCATGCAGTATTTGGTTGGAACTTCATTTCGGATCAACAGAAGGTAAGGTTTTTTTGGTTGTGCTTCCAATTATTTATTTCATATAGAATTGTCATACTTAATTGTATTTTGGTTGTTAATGAATATTTTGCCATAGTCCTGTTGTTGATGAAGTTGTTCTTAGTAATTTTGTTTGGTGATGTTAATGAATATTTTGGATTGCCAAGTTTGTCCTGTTTGTTCTGGTTGCTGTCATTGATGATCATGTAGTATTCTATTTGATGTCCTTCGTATGTGTGTTCTGTGTTGTTGCCATTGCCTTGCTGTTAATGAATATTTGCAAGCAAGCTTCTGTTGTTGCCATTGTTGTCATTGATCTTATTGAATATTGTGGATTGTTTACAATTTTTTCATCTCTGTTGCTGCCAATGTCATGCAGTATCTGGTTTATGAAATCATGTGGTATGTGTGTTCTGTTTGCCTTGTCTAATGATGTTTAATAACCTTAACTAGTCCCCCACAAATATTATCGAGGACCATTGTAGTCCTTGTTCTTTAACAGAAGGGACCATTTTGGTCCCTAACAATTTTATCGGGGGTACAAATTGGTCCCTACAACAGTTCTTTTAATATGGTCACTTAAAAATCCAGCACTGTAAATTCCCCTTATACATGCTGATATTATTCATGTTGATTTGAGATTGTATTTTAATTTTTATTCATTGTCATTCACATACAGGGACTTGTCCCAGCCTTGAAGGAAATTATGTCAGGTTCACACCACAGGTTCTGTGTACAACATGTATGGAAGAACTTCATCAAGCAGTGGAAGGATAAAGAGACAAGAGGAATTTTATGGGAATGTGCTAGATGCACCACTGTTCCCCAATTTGAGAAGGTCATGCAAAGGCTGAAGACTCTAAACGAACCAGCTTGGAAGTATCTTGACAATATACACCCTTCGTGTTGGGTTAAGGCCTATTACAGTCACTGGCCTAAATGTGACAATATCACGAATAATATGGCTGAGGTGTGGAATGCAAAGATTGTGAATTATAGGGACAAACCTATAATAACATTGTGTGAGGAATTGAGGTGCTACATAATGCGAAGGATGGCAGCACACAAGAGGATTCTACAAACCTTTAGGGGTAAGATAGCACCTGCACAGCAGAAGAGGCTTGACCAGTTGAAGGTTGCAAGCAATTCTTGGACACCAACATGGACTGGAAACTTGGTCCAAGATCTCTATAAAGTATCTGGAAAGGGTCAACGTGTTGGGGTGAATTTAACTCAACAAACTTGTAGTTGTAATGTGTGGCAGCTGACTGGATTGCCTTGTGAACATGCCATTGCTGCCATTGCACACAAGAATGAACCTGTGGAAAATCATGTTCACCAATGGCTGACAGTGGATGCTTTGCATGCCACTTATGAACACACTCTCAACCCAGTCAATTCCCAACAATATTGGCCAGCTTGTGATGCCCCAAAACCACTTCCTCCACGCTTGAAAAGACCTATTGGACGTCCAAAAAAACATCGCAAGAAAGATCCCACTGAAGAGCTTATGAAGACCAACAAGAAGCTTAAGAAGACTTACACAGTTCAATGCTCCAAATGTGGTCAGACTGGTCATTACCCCAAGACATGTGAGGGACCTGCTGGTGGATCAAAGAAAAAAACTAAACCGGTTAATGTTGAAGTTGGCCAGTCAAGGACAGTTGAAGAGATCCTCATGAGCATGAGTCAGGGCTGCCCTCCACTAGAGACAAGCAGCCAGCATGCACCAAATGCAGCTGAACCAAGAGCCAGCAGCCCACCACCATGCAATCCTGCTGAGGCAGTGACCAGTGAGACAGCAGTGGCACCAGAGCAAGATTCATAAGCTTCATGACTACACCAGGATTCATGCCACCTAGGCCAGCCCCATATAACTGATTTGGAATTGTAATCACTGATATTAGGCCAGTTCGAATGTCTCAGTTGGCATTTTTTTGTTATTAGGCCAGTAGCTTGGAATTGTAATTAGGCCAGTTTTTTGGTTTACTTTGGTTTTGGCCCTGTTTAAATTATTCACCAATGGCATTTTTTTGTATGCCTCTGGTTATGGCCATATTAAGTATGAAAACTTTGTTTTTTTGGGAAGATGGCATGTTCCTACTTAATGGTTTAATATGTCAGTGCCAATTGTAAGTACACAGACATGATATCAATAGATTACTAAATCTCTTATGTTATTACTATTTTTCATTGCTATCATTAATGTGAAATGAATGAAAGATTATGTCAGTTTGGTTGCTATCTGTATTCACTGTCTTGATTGTATTCAATACTGTCAAACAATACTATTTTTTGTTTTTGTCATTACCATCTCTTTGGCAAATTGCTTGTCATGCTTATATTTTGTATGCTGTGTCATTTTGGGGTCATGTGTAAACATACCTGAATTTTGGGGTCATTACCAAATTGCTTGGCAAATTGGTCCCTTTTATACCTTATAAGTCCCCAACAATTTTGGTCGAGGACCATTTTAGTCCCTGTAATATTTTACACTAGGTCAAATAGGTCCCTAACAAATTCATCGGGGCCCAAATTAGTCCCTGCAAAACATGACAGTAAAACCAATGCCACAAAAAGCTGTTACCACAGAAGCTCATTCCCCCTTCTGTATAATTTCCTCAATCCTTGTTGTTACTGCTCATACAGTCTTTTGACCATTTTAATTGGCATTTCCAGATAACTTAATACTTAGCAGGTTGTGCTTTAAGAACAATCAAGTTCAAAGACATTAACCATTTTAAGAACAATCAACATCTCATTACATCCCAACAGTGGTCTTTCCATTACAGAGAAGCATACATATTACAGATTAAAAATGAACATTTCACTCCACCCTACTACAAAGATATAAACATATTACAAAGACAATGATAATGGATCCAGCAAACACCCTAGCACACCTACACACATGCATCATTTCCTTCTCAACCCTTTCAAAGTCTGCCTGCATCTTCATTGCTATGTCTTCAATCTTTATACAGTGCTCATTAATCTTCTTTTTGTGGTCATTCACCTCCAGTTGCAGTTCATCATTGAGCTTCATGTCCAAAAAGTTCAACTTGAACTCCATTTCAGCTACATTCAACTCCAACTTGTTAATTGTCCAATCTTCCAGCTCCATGGTATCAGATGTAGCATCATCCACCCATGTAAAAAAGTTACAGTATGGCTTCTTTTCCTAAACAAAATTCAAATATACAGTTCATAAGATTGAAATACCAAAAATAACGCATGAAAAAATCAACCTCACCTTGAAGTTGGGGCACCCAAAAAATGAACTATTAGGGTTTCTAGGTGTCTTGGAGGTGTAAACAACATTGTGCCTCCCACATTTACACAATGGAGCAGCTCTCCTTCTTCCACTTCTGGACCCAAGCGAACTACCTGAGCTCCCCCTTCCAGAAGACATAATCATGGCATAAACACAAAGATCAACCCTAAATCGAACAGTATACACCCACCTTCCCTATACCGTCAATCAATTTTCCCCAAATTCATGCGTTCAACCTTCGATTCGATACCATGTTTTCTGGTTTAAGTTGAACCCTAACAAACAAACGACGATGTTTCTTGGATGAAAGAGAACTGTGTCCAAGGTGGCTGAGCTTCAACAAACGACGTCGTCCAAGATCTCCACGTGGGCTTCAGCATGTCACTTAACGTGACATATCAGCACCGTCACTCACACCGTCAATTTTGGTTTGACAGAAGGACTAACGTGGGTCCTGTTTCACATTGTTGGGGACTATTTTACGAGTTTATTTTTCTTAGGGATTAATTTAGCCACCGCATTTTTTGTCAGGGACCTATTTGGGTATTTACTCTATTTTTTTTCTTTATTATCATTAATACACTTTTTAATGTTTAGAATCCTCTCATTTGACTATAGTCATGTTAAATAAAAAAAAATTGAAATTTCTAAAATTACTTTAGATAATTTTATCTAATGTTCATCAAAATACATACGTAAAAGTAGGTAGAAGTTTTCTTTTTCTCTCTCTTCTCTTCATATAGGTCGATATAAACCCTATACATTTTTTTATATATATTTTAATGAATATTAAATAAAGTTATTTAAATTAACTTTAGAAACTTTAAACTCATAAAAAAAATCCACTCCCATGTAATAATAGTCTTTAGCAGAATCGGAGGGACTTAACTCCCTAAAAGACAGCAAGAAAAGAATATAAATTGTACTAATGTGTTAAGTTTAATCTATTTAATTTCATCGTTAATTAAATTTGGACAATTAAACTCTCATCATTCAAGTAGTGCTTTAAACCAATTTCGAGAGCTACAAAGCACGTAAGCCTTTAAGACTTGAGCATAATGTCGATTAAGAAATTTTTATTCCCTATTTAGAGTATTAGGTAATCCGTAATTCTTCACACTTTTTTATTCCAATGCTTTCATCTCTAAGACAAAACGAAAGAAAGAAGTATCAATTTTGATAAGGAAAACGTTGTCGTCGATTAGGTATGTTCGAATAGAAAACAAATGAGAGAGAAAGAGAAAGGAAAAGAAAGATTGATTTTAAGTCAATATTCCTCCCATTTTAAAGTTTCATAAAAGAATAGAAACAAAACAAAGAATTTTTATGAAATCCTCCAATTTTTTTATTTTTATGAAAATTATAGAAATCCTTTAATTTTTAATATTTTAAACAAAACAAAAAAAAAAACGTAACGGCGTGTTCCTTTTTCCGTCACGTCCATTTTTATTTTTATTTTTGAACCATTCCTTCCCTTCCTAACATCACAATATACCCAGAGAGAAATATTGCAAACTCCGTCACTATTACGTTTTGTATGTTCATTAATAGTTTTTATACAATTGAATAATCAATAATCATAATGAGAAATAACGATACATCAAAGACTCAAGAACATAGTAAAAGCCCAAATTACGTAGCAAATTTTACTACAGTTTAATAATGATAAACAAAACTTGTAACAAAATTGGAATATAAACAATTTTTTTTTAATAAAAAAAAGTCCTGTTTAAATAAGGATGCAACACATACTACAAATTAAATCTTTATTGCAAAGTCCCGTTTCAAATTTGATGGGAGGGTATTACACCAAAATCATATTCACAATGCATTGGCCCTCAAGACTAGAAAGAAAAAATATCATATAATTACAATCACTTGCTTACATAGTTCTTAAAATGAATGCTCCAATAAAACGTAGAACTTGATAGTAAACATGCATATGCTTTGGAGACTATCACCTCAAGCAGGAAATCAAATGAACTATACAGGCAATCTAAGCAAGCAGTGACATTCACCCTCTTATTAAAGTTGCTGCAATACCCATCAGATATAAATGATAACTCCTTTTCATTTCCTTGAATCCTCCACCACCAAATACAACCTGGTGAATTACCACTTAAAGTGAGAAAAGAAACCAATCCACAACAAAGAAACCATCATGCATAAGTTAAACAGGCCTACCTTATCAACAATTCCTTTACCGCTTCGTTTCTGTCATGTTTTTTCCTTCAAAAAATTCACCCAGCATTCTATCTAGATCTTCTGCTGTGTATTTGATGTACTTCTGAGGATTCTTTCCACTCTCCACTAAAGGCCTGTAATATATCATACAAAAACCACAAATGAGTAGGAGAGTGAATCAGTATCTTGAAAAAAACTGTAAGATGGGTTAATTAGTCAATAAGAAAAGTTGAAGCAGGTAACACCAACAATTAAATGATTGTGCTATAATGGCCCAGATATATTTCAGGATAAGTTGCTGTTGACCTCCCTAAAAGTTACATCCTAAACACTTTCATTGCACATAGTTTAAAGCCTAACATTATATACCCATTCATGTTTCATAAATATACTTCAAATAACTTGAACCCTTTCTAGATTTTAAAACACTGGATTGTTGAAGTTGGTTTGCACAAAACTTCAAGGGGGTGAAGTATAATTTACCCTAAATTTTAAGGATAGAAAAGATATCTTCCAATTTTTTAAAATTTTATATTATTATAATATCTTTCAACTTGATTTGATATTAGGGATAGGTTATTCTACCTACTTCTTTTACTGTCTACTTTTGTCTATCACTCTCCAATACCATTAAATCAAAATCTCAATAGGAGAAAAAAATGATAAAGGTAGTTGAGATTTTGATCTAACGGTGTTGGAGAATGGTAGGTAAAAAAAAAGTAGGTAGAATAATCTATCCCTTGATATTATATGTATTTTTGTCTCAAAGGGCACAATGACATCATTTCACATCCATGAACCCCCCCCCCCCCCCCCCCCAAAAAAAAAAATATCTATATATATATATAATTGATGGCAATGACGTAATAAAGTTTGAAGTCAACTAAAATGGGAACACACCCAAAACGCTTTACAAAAGATCTATAGGCGGGCAACAAGACTTCAGCAACTGCAAGTCTAAGAGACTCTCGCAACTCAGAATCAGGAACTGTCCATTGAGATTGTTTCTGATGGATTTCCTCAAACATAACATTGAATGACTTAAACCTGACAAAAGAAAACCAACTGATGTGTCAAAAGGACAGAAAATACTTTTCCCTAAACGAAAGTCCATAAATAAATAACTTAAAGGCTACCTGTCTTTAACAACTGCCCTTGAAGCACCACTATTACTTCCAGTTCCACCATCACCACCACCAGTACCACTCCCACCACCTGATGAGGTAAGGCCCTGAATAGATAGGCACAGGAGAATCTGCCAAGGGAAAGAATCAAAATTCAGCAATGGCACAGTCCCTTCTAAAATAGTTACAAATAAATAAAGAGGATGACTTCTGAGCTTTTATCCAAATGATTTTACAAAGATCAGAGCAAAAAAAACACATGTACCAAGAAGGAAGACATTACTTTTCAAAAGAGAAAATGGATAGAAAAGAGAAATACAATGGCTTTCACTGTCTAATTTTGTCACACACACACACAGAAGATTAAAAACAATAAACAGAAAATAGAATATCATAAAATAAACAACTTAAACAAATATTAATGTTATTGCAAATAGAGCATTCACATGAAACCAAACATCATGAAATTTTAAGTCAGTACACTCAACCATCTGCCTTTATTACTAATATTATCACGTAACAAAATATCCAAGTAACATCTAAGAATGCTGCAAGACATGTAGCAGTCAGCTGGGTCATTAGAAAACACCTTCGCCCACGCATTTCTTTTGTATTGATTTGCATGCTGCTGCACAATCCTCCTATGTCGTTGTACCCAATCATCCCCCAGCAAATCCTTGGCTTCAGACCTAAAAATAGAAGAGGATTAGGAGAAAATTAACTTTGAACCACCAGAGTTTGCAATAATACTACCATTCAAAGAAATTAACAACCAATACATGTCAAATACATACCTCCGAACCGATCTGACAATATAATGAATATTGTTCATGAGGAAAAGATGTGTCAATGCAAGGTCTTTATACTGCTTTGATTTCCCATCTAAATTGGTTTGCAAAGCTTGCATTATTCGCATTGTTACAGATGCTAGCTGCGAAGAATCATCTCCACCTTCAAATTCTTGGAATAGATGCTTCAAGGTGGACCGGTAGCTGCGAAGATTTAAAGAATTCTAATCAGGTCAAATATGTGAAGATCTATGATGAAGATACTGACGAAATTTATAAACACACACGCACAGGAGAGTACACAAGCTTAAGCATTATTCAAAAGTGAATTTTAATAGAAATTTATCTTAAATATAAAAACGATGAAATAGAAGTACGGGATTGCCCAATGCCCTCATAGATACTAATAATTTATGATATGGCAAATAAAACTCAGTTCAAAATAGTTGGAATTCTTCAATCAGCTGGAGACAAATCATCAACAGGATGGTTCGGTAAAGATCTGATGAGGTTGAAGACAACACATTTGCAGAACTTCAGACATGGTGTGGCGAAATACCCATCGCAGTCACAATTAATCTCATGGACAATGCAACGCAGTACTCTGGTTCTACATAAATTCAAAACTCACAGACAGGCAACCCAGTATTTTGCACATGTAAGGTCAATCTTTCTCCAAAACTTTACAAAAACATATTTCTTTATTTTCTCAATTTCTATTTCAGGCTAGTTAATTTCTTTTAGTTTCCCAGCAAATCACTTTCAAGAAAAAAAAAAATTCCCACTAGCACAGCATGTCAAGACTAAAAGGGGATGCAAAATGCCCCACTGTATGGACCATAGTTAAGATGCATAATTTCTGCAACAACCTAACTACTTGGGGTTGGTTAGATTAAGTCTATAACTATTTTTTAGCATGGGATTCGAATCGTATTGAATTAATGACCTTGGGCTTGTAGTAGAAGTACTAGACTAGTCTTGACCTAATTATTAGTATAAACAGGGCCAGAAGGTTAGTATTTATACTAACAAATAATATTAGGGTAGC